AATTTTTCCACATCCTTCTTGTAGTGTGGGACCCAAAACTGGACCCAGTACTCCAGATGAGGAGTTGGTCTGAATTCAACAAGATGGAATTCAATAAAGACAAGTGCAAAGTACTGCACTTAAGAAGGAAAAATCAAACACACAACTACAAAAATGGGGATTAACTGGCGAGGTGGTAGTACTGCTGAAAAAGACACGGGGAGTTATAGTGGATCACAAATTGAATGCGAGTCAACAACACGATGCAGCTGCAAAAAAAGGCTAATATTCTGGGGTGTATTAACAGGAGTATTGTATGTAAGACATGGGAGATAACTGTTCAGCTTTACTTGGCACTGGTGAGGTTTAGTTCTGAGCATCACACTTTAGGAAGGATGTGGACAAATTGGAGAGAGTCCAGAGGAGGGCAACAGAGAGTGATAAAAGGTTTAGAAATCCTGCCCTATGAGGAAATGTTTTAAAAAACCAGAATGTCTAGTCTGGAGAAAAGAAAAATGAGGGGGGACCTGATAGTCTTCAGCTATGTTAAGGACTGCTATAAAGAGGACAGTGATCAATTGTTTACTGAAGGTGGGACAAGAAGCAATGGGCTTAATCTGTAGCAAGGGAGGTTTAGGTTAGATATTAGAAAAAACTTTCTAACTATAATGTAGTTAAGCTCTGGAACAGGCTTCCAGGGGAGGTTGTGGAATCTCCTTCATTGCAGGTTTTTAAGAACATGTTGGACAAACACCTGTCAGGGATGGTCTAGAGAGAAGGTAGGTGAGGTAATATCTTCTATTGGACCAACTTTTGTTGGTGAGAAAAACAAATTTTTGATCTTACACAGAACTTCTTCTTCAGGATGGTCTAGGTTTATTTGGTCCTGCCTCAGTGCAGGGGATGTATTGACTTCTGGAGGTCCCTTCCATCCCTACATTTCTATGATTCTGTAAACCATTCCTAAATTTAATACAATATAGACCCCAAATGTACTGCATGCTGTTGCAATATCTGTCACATTTCCTTTCTCCCACATTCTCATTTCTCCCCCTTCTATAGACCCTTTCATGTCCAGGAGTCTTAACTGGATTTCCCCTTCTCCCCTGGGAATGTGCAGGCAGGCCACCGTTGGCTTTGAGAGGTGGACTTAGGTCCTTTTTCCCAGAATTCTCTGCCTCCATGGGAGAACAGCTGAACGCAGATCGCTGCTCACACCAGGGACCTTTCTGACTTTCAGATCGTTCAAAAAAAAAAAAAATTTAAACACATTTATACATTAGATCTTAAACTTGCAGACACTTCCCTTCCCTCTACCGAGGGCTTGGAGATGGAAAATTGGTGACTAAGGTGACATCCATGCTTTTGGAAGGTGGCCAATGAGGAGAGGTTATGCTGTGCTCCACTTCTGAAGCCCCATCCAGGAAGTCCAGCATCTGCTCTGCTAGGTTAAGGAGCAGGGCCCAGGCAAGCTTTGCTCCCTTCTCAACAAAGTTTGAAACCTCCTCCAGATCCATTGAAATGGGGGCCACTCTGTGTCTAGCTTCCTGTGCCCAGTCAGCTGTTCGGATGGTGTGGTGCTGGATCAGCGTGACAGGCACACTGCGGGTTTGTTATAAAAGTCTCTGTGTCTGACCTGCCCTATGCACTTGGGATGCTCACTTCAGAGCTATTCTGAGCCTAGGGTCTCTGGATTTGTTTCTCTGCAGGGAATTAACTGCTCGTCACAAAAGGGAAAACCACAGAACAATGCTCCTCTGAGACCTTTCTGGCTACTCTACATTTCTCTTCTGTGAACCGGGCCTATCAGTTTACCAGCCTAAAGCCTTGTTTTTACCAGTTCTAACTGCAATGGAGTATGGGGCTTGCTGCATTATCACTGCAGTTAATGGCAAAAGCTTCCATTGACTTTACTGGGAGCTAGAACAAGTGAGTGATAAGCAGAGTGAGTTGAGGTATTGGGGGGCGGGGGGGAATTTGGAGTTGCCCAGCACCACTGGGTTAGAATGCCCACAATTTGAATGGGAAGTAGGAACGGCGGCAGTAGGGTTTAGCAGGGCAGTTAGACCCAAATCTTATCATTCATATAGAAAAGCGGACAGGAGACTGGCAGGCAGTGGGGTGGAGGGGCAGCCAGTGATCACTGGCGAAAGCCTGAAGTAGCAGGGCTGGTACAGGTACTGCCATGAAACACTAAAACTGGACAAGATCAGTCTGCCCACGAGGTGGGTTTAACACTGCAGCCTGGGTCAGGGTCCTGCTGTGATGGAAATCCAGCCTGTTAATGTCCCTGTATTCACCTTGAATGCTGAAAACTGCATGCTGGTGAAGTTAATGCATGGCCTCACGTTTGATTATTGCAACTGTGCAGCGCCCCCTCCACCATTCCCTCTCCTAGCGTGTTTAACATAGGGAACTTTTGAAGGTCTGAGTGACGGTTCCAAATGGAATGCTACTGTCATGGAATGGCTGGCAAATCTTCAGCTCCTTCCAGCACCATCACAGGTTACAGTGCACGCTGCTGCATATGGGGAAGAGTAGGTGGCAACTGGCAATGCCAAGACCTCGGGCTAGTAAAGTTGGATGGCTTCCCCAACAGGTTTGGCAGCCGCTGCCGGAGTGCATCTCTGCCTCTTTTTCATTCGTTGTGGAGGCCCTTCAACCACCACAAGGCCTGTGCTCTCTTGTGGGAAGTAAATGCAAGCAACCCTGCTGAGCACACATGGCACAGTGCTGCTGGAGTTGGTGTCCCAGCTACAGGGGGGCACCAATACATGCTCCTCTGGGATCTTGCTTGAGTTTTGGTTTGCAGGTAAGTGGCAGGAGAAACTCCTCAGATCAGCAGCAGGCTACAGTGCATCCCTGGGTGGAGAAACATTAAAGAACCCCAAACTCCAAGGTATAGACGTTGTTTCTGAAGGTTAATGGGAACTTGGCAGATCAATGAACGATGAGCACAGACTAACAAAGCCTGAGATCCATTGAGAGAATTATAAGATATTTAGTAGTGAAGTTTTGTAACACCTGTCACTAGTTGAATAAATGGAAAACTTCCAACTACACACAGATGCTTCCTGGCTTGATCCCCGGCAATCCATACTCCCTCCACCTCCAAACTGCTAGGGCTCTTCCAGGGGGTGAGGAATCTGGCTGACTCATGATGTTTAGGGTTTGAGGTGGGAGGAAAACAATCTGTACCTTTAGGAAGCCCTTATTTACCATCTTCCTCCAACCCACTCCTCCCCACACACACCATATGCTGGCCTTATGTCAGAGCAATTATGTTCTGCAGAAAGGGGGCTCAACTGAAGATCCCTTCAGCTTTATTATGACCTGATTGTAAGAGGTGCCAGATACCTACAACTCCCATCAAAATCAACATTGCAAGGCTGTGATATTGCAAACAGCCATGTTTGCTCCCTTGGGAAATGCTGTAGTCTCTATAGTGGAGGCTTGTTTGTAATACTCAATTTTATTAACAATACCTATGCATTAAACATTAAGGGCCCAATCTTGCAAACACATAAGCCCCCATCCAGCGGACCTCGGGGCGGACATGTGCAGGTGGACTTTCAGGGTTGCAGGATTATTCCCATCTGTGTGAGTCGGACTGCAGGATTGGGGCTTACATTATTTCATTTAAAAGTGACAATAGTTTTGCATTAAACATTATTGTTTATTAAAATTGCAATTCCACTAAAATGTCATGATTTTACTTTTATTGGACCCGCATCT